GACTCCTACAAAGACCAAATGGTTCACATCAGAGAGAAATTCCAAACCAGACTAATATGGCATGTATTTAACTTAAACTACTTATACTCTTACTTCAAAGTAGATAAATTCTTACATATAGATATAGTCCTAGAACCACCTAAACCTATGCTCTGATACCACTAAATCTAACATCCACCGACTCTCGCGAGACCAAACAACGGATGCCATATTCGATGCTGGAGACACCTTCCTAACTAACATATAAATCATATTATCAGGTTATGAATTAGAAGTGATTTAGTATTCACAAGTATAGCAAGTAATAATTTTTTTTTGAAAATGATTTGGCAGAAACCTACAGAAAAGCTGCAAGAGTTTCTCCTAAAAATTGAACTCGACAAACATGTGAATACAAAACACTCTCAAATTTAGGCTCCAAACCCCAATCAAACTCCAAAAACCAACACAACACAACAACACTTCTATAACTTCATAACCATGTAATTCCTCATTAGCAGTATAATAATCATCAAACTAGATGAATTTATTTATATATATCAAGTCCTAATAATCCAACGATGCCAACTAATTTAGAAAATAATTATATCCAATCATTAAATAAGTCCCATGTTTAACTCCAAATATATACACTAAAATAATTTATAACATCATGCTTAAGTTATATAACTCGAATAACATAATCTCCAAATAGATAATAATTATACATGTCATAATTCTTAATTACATAATACAGTTATATAAAACCTCGAATAGACCATAATCTCCCAAATATGATAATAATTTATACTATGTCATCATTCTTTTAGAATTACATAAAGCTAAAAATCTACTACTACTGTGGAGTTAATAATAAATAATTGCATATCATCATCACATGCATGTATTATTACTTTTATTAAAAGAAATATATTAAATGATAACTTAACATTTATTTGTATAATTACTTAAAGCCTTATTATTAATAATATGATTATATGTTATATTATATTGTACTTACATCATAATTTATATTTTGTTTGCATATTAATTTATTGATTTTGGCTGGCATTTAGTACTTGAAATGAAATTGTCTTGATCTATTTGTGTTATGATTATGGTTGTGTATTACTATGTTATTATTAATATATGATTATGTTTATATATTTACTTACATCATAATTATATTTTGTTTGCATATTAATTATTGATTTGGTGCATTATACTGAATGAATTGTTTGATTATTTGTGTTATGATATGGTTGTGCCTTGTTTGTGTGAAATTAGGATAAAGTGGGTTGCCAGGGGTTTATGAGTGTAGTCTATATTACCGTCGGCCATGTATGGAGAGATCAGCGCCCCGTGTGCATCTAATGATATGAATGATATGGGAAAAACCACAAGGTGGCCTCCTGTTGGTAATGAAAAAGAAAGAGAGAATGGAAAAATAATGAGAGGTCTGGTCAAGTGAGGATTAAACCGGCCAGCCATGTATGGGGGGATCGGCTCCCTAGTGCATACGTCATAAGAGGGCGGTCTATGTGTGAGGATGGCTCGTCAGGAGTTTCGGTGACACCACATACCAATCTCCACTTGCTTGATTATGTGAACATACTATTTTATGTAGATGCCATGTGCGTAACTGATCGAGTATTCATCTTAATGCCTTTATCATCTCGTGTGAATGTATGGGACATGTGCTATCTATTATTGCTCACTAAGTTGTAAAACTCACTCCCATTTTTATTTCGGGAAGCAATCTTTCTTTGTTTCCACGGTAGTTCTATTTCCCTATTTCCTACCACCAACAGAGCTAAGAATGTAATAGATTCCTTATAATGCCCTCTTTCCATGTAACTACTATTTATATGATTGGATTGTAAGTAAATTTAGTTGAGCTCCGCAGTTAATAGGTTTTCCTAACATGTTTATTTGTAAAGTGCAATAAACTAGTTACATTTTCAATGTATAAATTCTGTTAATTTTGGACTTATGCATTTGTAATCTAGAAGACCATAGTGTGGTTGTTATACGCTTATAGGTATGTGATTTACATTTGATTACAGTAACATGATCAGGCCGTGAACTTAAATAAAAATTTTACTTTTGTTATGGACTTACTGTTTATGAATAAGAGTTGGGCCTCATTTTAGATTAGTTAATGGTTTAAGCTCACTACGGTTTTTGGGAGCCTTATACTTACCTAAGTCTTAGTGCCAGTCCGACCTATGGATTTAGGTCGTGACATGTAGTCGTTTATATTTTTAAATTTTTATTTATGAATAAAATATTATTGGACAGTAATGACTAAAATTTAATAAAATTACATCTATTCAATTGTAATATCTTAACAATTTGAATTTAGTTTTTTTAGCATAAAATATATTATATAAGATTATATTTATATATATTTAGCTATTTGTGTCTTAGTAATTTAGTTGAATATTTTGTAGATTGATAATTATGAAATTTATTAAAAATTTTAAAAAAAATTATTAATTGAATAGAATGCTAATAATGTTATAATTAAAATTTTTTTAAAATACTTATCAACATCACTAGTGAATTCTAATGATAATTATAATTAGATCTTAATTTAAAATATGAGTTGTGCGGAATATGAAATTTAGATATAATTATAGTAATTTAGAATGTGACTCGTAGAAAATATCACCAATGAACTTGTAAATATAATTATAATTGGACCTTAATTAAATGTCATCTTTTTTTTTTATTAGTATTATCATATATATTAGTAAACTCACACCTAGAAGTCTAGTGTCTATGTATTAAGGATTACAATAACCATAATTAATTATAACCTACTAGATATATTCTTTAATAAAAAGTATTAAACTTTATACTTTACTTATTATTATTATTATTATTAATATATTCTTTAATAAAAAGTATTTAAACTTTATACTTATCTTATTATTAATTATATTATTAATTATTATTAGTTGGTTATTTGCTCGTATAATTATAATTAACTATAATATTGAAATATAAAATATAATTTATAGATAAAATATAATTATAGTATTTTTAATTAATAGCTAGTATAATAATAATAATAATAATAATTTATACTATATATAAATATAGGAATAAGGTGGAATAATGAAATTTATGATAACGTTTTTAATGAAACTTGAATATTCTAAAATAATTTTAGTAATTACCAATTAAAAAATTATATTTTATTAGTTGATCTGATATAATTTATTAAAATTTTTTTTAAATAAATACATATAGATAATTAAACATTTCAAAATTTTAAAATTTATCTTTTAAAATTTATTTTTTATATATGATAATGAGATATTTGAAAATTTTTATATTTTTTTAAAATTCATTTTTTAAATATTTGATTATGTTAATATTTTATTTAAAAGAGAGATAAAAAATATATTCTTTTGTAACATTTTTTTCTTTATGTTTATGTTATTTGATTGGATATGTTTTTTAAAAAGTAAATTTTCCAATAAAATATAAATAATTAAGCGTTTCAAAATTTTGAACTTTTTACTTTTTATAATTTATTTTTAAATAAAATGAATATGTGTGTACTTTTTATAATTTATTTTTAAATAAAATGAATATGTGTGAGAAGACGAATCAGTTAAAAATTTTAATTTAAAAATATATAACTTTTTATAATATTTATTTTTAAATAAAATGAATATGTCGTGAGAAGACGAATCAGTTTAAAAAATTTAATTTAAAAAAAGTGAAGATGTATAATTATTTTAATTATTATTTATTGTATATGTTACTATTATATGTATTGAATCGATATTATCTCTTATGTATACTGATGAATTGTATTTAACATTACTCATTCATTATTATGTGAATTATGTTCTTTTCCTATGGTAAAATTTATTAGCTATCAATCTCATTAATATGAAGTGGTGGATGGTATCATACTACTATGAATTGTTTTATGTAATTAAACCAATTTTATTATTATATTTATATATTTATATGTATTGAAACGTATTTATTATTTGATACTGATGAATTATACATACATAATCATTAGGTGATATTGTAAAATTTTTAGATAATATAAATGAAGTGTGTGTATATACACATTATTGTTTTATTAATTAACCATTATATTCACATTAATCTCATATGAAATTTTATTTTAACATTATAAAAATTTAAATAATATAAGATTAGTTAATGTGCAACACACATCATAAAAAAGACTAATTAAACCCTAAAAGCAAATTAAAATTAGAATTGTAAACTCTACAATTGATCTTGTATTAAACGAACAAAATCTGTTGTAATTACACCATAAGATTAGTATTTTGAACTCCATATTTGAGTATAGGTTAATTTGGAAAAAAAGAATATTGCAATTGTACCCTAAAAGTAAATTAAGGTTAAGATTTTGAGTTCCATAATTTGAGTTTGGTTAAACGAACAAATGCAAAATGCAACATTTGAATTAAAGCCCAATTTTTATTTTCTTGATTTTCTTTCTTTATTATATATGAATACTTATCAAGGTGGGCTTTATATTTTTAATAGAAAAATGGTAACATTTGATTTTTTTTAATCTCAATATTTTGTCATAATATACAATATTGTCCCTGCATTTTTTAGAATATGCAGTTCTCCCTTTATATTTTATTTCCGTTGTACTGTTATATCCTTTTGTCAATTTTTCATTATTTTTGCCAATGCGTTTTATTAATATATGCAGTTGTGTTATATTTTACAATATATTCGGCCAAAAATTTAATTAATTTGTCTTTATTTTTATTGACTATTTTGTCATTGCATTTTATCAAAATTAATTATCTATCTTATATTTAATGAGAAAAATATAAAACTGATAAAAAAAATATAAAAAAGCAAAAGATATGGATAAAACTGTCTCTTTCTAAAAATACTGAAAATAGAGGCGAAATCATGTATTTTAACTCTTCAACAAAATTGAATGATAAAACATAAAATCATAATTTTCCTGTAAAAATCAGTAGTGATAAATAGAAATTAAACCTAAAAAGCAAAATTGGATAAATTCAAGTAATTAAACACGCCTTATGCCTTTCTAAATGTATCTTCTCTTCTCCGGTTTGTGTTAACCTTCCCTCCTACTCTCTGACCGTAACGAGTTCCATAATCATCAATTCTATCTTTTTCCACCGCCTTTTCAATTCGCTTCTCCATTCGCCGAAGACAGCACCTGACGGAGCTGCGTCCATTTCAACAGAAAAGCTCAAATCAACAAGCCAAAAGCTTACCGTTGGAATAAGGTGCAAATATAGTTCTGATGCTTCTTATTGGCTATTCTTTTCTTCTCTTCAGTTCAGTATATCTTATGCTTTTATAATTTCTTGGTGTGAATCAAATACCATTACATCTTTAATTATTGTTTGATTTTTTTTTCATCTGGAATGCCCAAATTTGGAATTTTGTTCTCTGTGCAATCTAATTTGTTGTTCTACTATAACCCGGTTTCCTTTCCTAAAACATGATTTTGGAAAAAGAGTGTTCTACCTTATTGTCTGCTACATCCTCCCCTCGTGCAATTGCAACAGTTCAATGTATTTTTGTTCATTATATTATGCCGTTCTTCAATCTTTATCCGCGTTGAAATTCTTCCTGTCTGGGGCTTGTGGGTGTCGAATTAGGGCTTTCATTTCTTCAGCTTCTCTGTCTTTTTGGGTTAATTTGATTAGGCAGCTCTTGCTCGATTAGGTATACTGTTAAAACCGCTGTAGTATTTAAGCGAGTTCTCTTTCCTTTTAACTTCTTTTTGTGCATCTCTTTTTAGCTTAATTTAATTACATAAGTTTGATTTTTGTGGATTCTTCATAAATTTTGGGTCTAATATAAATTCTTAGCACTGCTGGTTGGCATTTCTTGTATATTGTTTTAGATAGATATGATTTTACGCCACACACAGAAAGGCTACGGTAGATAGACATTGTGAATTGTAAGGACATCATGTTAGTGGGATTTTTGGGTTATGATCACTGTCTCATATATGTGTAGCATATATAGTGGTAAATTTCAAATCTTACTCATAGTAACTAATAAACCCCTTGAACAATCCTTCCAACATTGATTAAGTTTTGCTATCAGGAGAATTGCTATTTGTTACCACTGTAATTTTTAGTTGATAATAATCCATCTAGCGGTTAAGTGCTGTCAATTTATATTTTTGCTAATATCAGTTAGAAATCAAATCCAAGTCCAGTTGCAGATTGAATGTATTACATTAGAACCTAATGAAAATCCAATCAAATAAAAGTATAACTAAAATACAAATGAAACATTAATTTCTGCTACATTTGAACTGAATCTCGCCTAATTCCTTTGGTAGGAGACAAATAATCTTTTGCTTTAATTAACTGTATATGGAATAAAAAGCTAATAATTTAAGAAATAATAGATAATTAAAAACCATAAATTTGAAGCTGCATACAACACACACCCACATAATTATTTAATCATACCCTCTAGTAATAATAATAATAATAATAATAATAATAATAATAATAATAATAAGAACAATAACTTATTTTACCATCAAAACGATGCAGTTTTGATATAGGAGGTTTAAATGAATCCACAAACAAAACTATGTCGTTTTAGCTTGGGTTTCACAAAGAAAATAAAAGTCCTCTCAAATCTCAACTCTCAACTCAACCTCTTATTCTATGTGGTGCTGGTTCTCTCCTTCTATGGATCTTCTACCTATTCACAGTCTTATTGTTCTACCTTTCCGTTGCTCCGTGCATGGCCGTCGTCTCTGCAGAAGTCCTGCTTTTCAACAGTAGTACCAGTGCAGGTACCTCAATTTCCATTCTTGATTTTTTATTTCGTTTTCCATTTATTTTTTCGTTCTCCTTCATCCCTTTTATATATAAACTCAAAAACGGTGATGTGCCGTTTAGCATATAGAGAGTTGCAGACAAAGAAAATAGAATAGATCCTCTCAAATTCTCAAACTCTCTCAACATACAAACACGCTCTTATATGTCGATAATGTTAGGTGCTGGATACGCTACGCTTGCTAATGGATCTTCTACCTATTCACAGTCTTAATTGTTCTACCTGTTATACGTTTGCTCCGGTGCGCTGGCCGTCGTCTGCAGAAGTCTTGCTCATTTCTCAAACAGATATGAAAAAGCTACATCCAGCATTTGTAACCTTCAAATTCTTCCAGTGGTCTTGATTTTTAGTTTCGTTTTCCAAAATATATGTGTTTTTCGTCTCCTACTATCCGCGGCATTATTATGAAGTAATAGTTTGATATATTAATCTAGCCATTTAATAGATTGGGTATATATAACCTTTAGTAATATAGTATAACCATCCATAAACTGCAATAGGTGCATCTTATTCATTAAGGGTAGCACTGAATAAAATAACAACCATGCTAATACGATAGACAAAGAGGAGGAAGTTATTAAAATATACTGGTGTTGAAATTAATTTATTGATGCTTCTTAGGCAACAAAATGAGTGGGGATGTGTTAATTTGTGTTAGTAAAAGGTGATTGTATGATTTATTTTGCTGTTGTGTTGTGACCATGTTTAAGGCCAAAACTAATTTCCTTGAACTATTATTATTATATTACTGAATTCAGAAGAGAGAGACAAAAGGATGAAGATTAATGTAAGCGTCTAAGTTCAATGGCCATGTGATTAAAATCTGACATGTTGCGGGGATTTCGTTGTTATTCAAGTTTGATTTGTTAGTAATGATAAATTGTGTAGAGAGAGCAGTAAGAAATAGAGTAGATGCGTCAAAAAGGAAATACCTCAGCTTCTGTGCTCTCATTGCTTTTTTGTTTGACTTGTTTGTATTCTCGTGTATTGAACTAGACTTGATTTAAGCTAAAAACCTTGTGTAATCTTAGATAGATATCTGCTTTGTTTTTCTTTGTTATTTGATATCTCACTAAAACATTGGCCTATATATCTAAGATTTTTCTTGCACTTTAAGAGAAACATCTCTCTGAATCCTTGATGAATTTGCAAGTGGTAATGTTAATAGACAGTGTATTTTTTATTCTCTGTATTCGCTTATCAATTGGGAGTGTCTTCTAAACTTGGCTGTAAGCTAGTTTAATTTTAGCATGATGTAAGTGTAGTTGCTTTTTATCTTTTATTGTTTATATATATTTGTAAAGTTGAAGAGAACGAATTAATTTTGTGCGGTCTCTGCTACTATGAGAATAACATGTATGCCTTTTATTTGATCGGTGACCGTTTTCTTGTATGATATATTCTTCGCTCAATTATGATTAGTGCTTTTCTTATTTGTCTAAAGAGAACCATACGAGTTACTTCCATAGAGCATAGGATCCCGAAAGAATGAGATTAATCTTTCCTTTTAGAGTCTATAAACCTTGTACTCTATAGAGGTGGTGTTATCTATATTTGTGAATAGAGATGTATTGTGAGCTTATATATGAGTTCAAACATAGTAATACTCATATACCTTAAAAACTTACGATTAGGAAGAATGAGGAGGTGGACTATGCGCTAGAGTTCCTAGGTTGGCCTTAATAATAGGACATAGCTGTTAATTTTGCATTTAGATAGTAGTGGTATTTAAATGCTACGAAAACCTATTATGATGGCGCGAGAGATGGTAGAGTGACAAAAAATGAATGAGTGCATATAGGCAAAAATAATATCGAATAACTCGCATATGGTGTCTAGATAGCGCATATACTAAGCAGTGAGAAATAGGTCGTATAGAATCAGAATGTCACTCTCAATAATAGTTTTATTACGTATTTTAATTATGATGTGTTTAGGCTGTCCTATATACTAATACATTAAACAGTCTTAATAACATTTAACTGATGCGTTTTGGGGTGATTGCGTCAAAATTTATTTAATTGAGAGGGGTGAGTGCGTGGTGTATGCGTCTATATATATATTTAGTTGAAGTTTGTGCATGTTTAAGCCAATTAATTTCTTGACTATTTATATATTCAAAGGCAAAAGGATGGTTAATGTAAGCCAATTCATGGCCATGTGATTGAAATCTGACATGTTCGGCTTGTTATTCAAAGTTTGATTTGTTAGTAATGATTAATATTGTGTAGAGAAGCTGAGATGGTCAAAGAAACCGCCTTGTTCATGCTTTTAGTTTTGACTTGTTTATTCTCTGTATTGAACTAGACTTGATTAAATCTAAGGAACCTGTAATCTTGATGATTGCTTTTTTTCTTTGTTATTGTCTCTAAACTTGGCTATAGCTAGTTTAATTTGCACTAAGGAACATGTAATCTTGATGATTGCTATTTTTTTTTTCTTTGTTATTGTCTCTAAACTTGGCTGTAGCTAGTTTAATTTGCTAGTGTAAATTGTTGCTTTTTATTTTTTATTTGTTATTTTTTAAATTAGGAAAAAATGTGCTGTATAATAATTTATTTGCCTTTTCTTTTAGTCATACTTTTCTTGTATGATAATTTCACTATTTATTTGTTATTTTGTCTAAACCAAGTTACTTTAGACTATGAGAATGAGATTATTTCTTTTTGATTTACATTGTTGTTGGTTTCCTTTTCTATTTAATAATGTTATATATTATAAATATACTGTATCTAAACTTAGATTTTATTTTGTAGGATATAATGTCAACATTTGAGAGTATAGATTGCAAAAATAGTAGCAAAAATGATACCAATATGTCGATACCTTCTTATTCTATGATAATTTTTTATAGTTTATTACGTTTTTAATTGATTTTTAGTTTGTTATTGTTATTGAATTTTAATAGATTTTTGATTGTCAAATTATTTAATTGAGATGTTGGTTTGCTTGTATGTATTATTTATTTAGGTTGAAGTTTAATTCTTTTTTTCTATTTTAATATTACCAATACTGTTGTTTTAGAATATTACAGTTTGAATTTTAAATTTTTTTGTTCTATTTTAATATTACTAGTACTGTTGTTTTAGAATATTACAGGTTGAATTTGAATGCATTTTTTATATATCTTTTGTTCCATTATCGGGTTCGGATTCAGCTTCTAAGCAGGTTCAGTTCCATGGATTGAATGAATTTGTGATTAAACGGGTTCGGGTAGTATGCGGGTAGTTCTAAACATATTTGGGACGGATTCGAGTATTGTTGGTTATTTCCTGACGGATTTGGGATGGGTTCAGGTACTTAAGTTAACAATCGGATTTGGGTAGTTAATTTCTAGTGGATACCTGCCCCGCTGCCATCCCTAACCACGAGTATTTGAAAAGGGGCCGACTTATCGTTTTGTCCTAAAACGAGCAAATGACTTTTATTTGTTTATTCTGGCCTCCCATTTCGGATTCGAATCAGATCACATAGTGAATCGGTGAACCAGTTTTATCACCGAGCAAGTCGGAGTCCTCCCAATGTCTTTTATCTTCGACGACGCAATATTCAGGGTGTATATAAAAACCTAGTTACACCGGACATTGTGCGGGAAAGCTACAAGAAAGCACACGAAATTAATTTGTTGTTTCAAGTCACTATAAGTATCCTGAATTTTGCAGAATCATCAAACATATTTATACTTATATATATATTATTTGTTTTAAATTTTAATTAATAAATTGAAAGGACTAGCTTTCCACTGAATTCAAGCAACTGAGAAATTTCTCTGAAAAAAAAGGAGCTCTAAGATTCATCTTTCCTCCCCTCACATTTTCTCAGAAAGCAAACAGAAGTTAACGGATCCTTCAAACTCGCATTGGTTTGATTCTGGATATTAGTGTTTTGCTTGTAAAGTTATTTGGCGATAATGAGAGTATTCTACTGTAGTATCTTGACTCGAGTTGAAAGAACTAACTGGTGGTAGTGAAAACATACTATTATTATTATTATTACGATGTGGGCAATTTCACTTCATTGATTGTTATTTCATTTTCTATATATGATTAGTGATCTTTCTCTGGTTGATTACTTTGAAGCCCTTCATTTTTTTGATTGAGTATTTGATCCTGTAGCCATGTGATGTATGAACTGAATTTGTATTTTTGGTTTTGATGGTGGAGATCTGTTGTTATTGTGAGAAAGAATTATTTTGTTTTTGATTTTGATGGATGAAGCACGCTAGTTTCTTGTGATTCTGCAGTTCAGGTGTTTGAGAAAATGATTGTGAGAATTTGTTAAACTAGAGAATCTTGGTTATGCCAAAGATTTTAAGGTTTCTGAAAAATTGTTATATTTGTTGCGTATTTCATTGAATGGAAAATCACTTCATGGCAAACATACTAACTGATCTGATTTTGGTTTTTAGAGATTAAAAACCAACGAAGTGGAATGTCCTTAATATGTTATAAATTTTTTGAAGCAGGCATTGGTGAAATGTTAAATAATAAGTACTTCCGCATGTCTATATTCCTTTTTTTTCTGAAGGGAATATTTATATTCCTCATTATTCATAATATGGTACTTTGTGGGTGTTGCCGCCTTTATGCATTGTAATTCTTATAACATTTCTCATTTTGATAATTTGAAGTATGCTTTAGTGACTTTCAGCCTTTAAATGCATTCAATGTTTGTTCCTATCTAAAATCATTCTCTCCCTGTGACCTCTTTCTTTTTATGGTTTGTGTGGGTATATTTTAGGTTAGGTGTAATTTTAACTCCCTTAAATTTCTTATTTTTTCATATTCTCATTCTTGCGGTTCTTTTTTCTTTTTCACCCTTATAAAATGGCATAGCTTAGGTGCATTAGTGGGTAACAAAGGCAAAGGTGAAGACATGAATGCATTCAAGGCTTTCAAAGCCCAAGTTTCAATTGCATGGAGCCCTAATTTATACATAACATTGGTGAGAGGCATTCCTGGAACCAGGAGACTCCACAGTTGAACCTTAGAGGCATTGCGGCTTGGAAAATGCAACCATATGGTGATGCGATGGAATACTCCTACTGTTAGGGGAATGCTCCAACAGGTTTAGTACGAGCTGCATATATTCTTTATTCAAATCTAGTTCACACTGTTTGGTCATTGTCTTAAATAAACCATTTATATTTTCTGCAGGTAAAGAGGTTAGTTGTGATTGAGACAGAAGAAATGTACAAGGCTCGCAAGCAAAATCAGGCAAACCACAAAGCTTTACGTCCCCCATCGGTCATAAACCACTTGCATGCTCAAGAAAGCAGTTCTTCATAGAGTTCGGTTCTGTTTTATGTAGTTCTTTAGAGGTCAGCTCTCTTTTTCTTAAAGAATGTTTATGTTGCCTAAAAGATGTGTTTTTCCATTAGTGTATTTCCTAGAAGTATCGACTGAATTAGTGAACTGAATTTTTCGAGTCTTCTTTTAGTTAATGGATCAAGTTATTGATCTAACTTTTTGGCATTAGTTTCATTCCAAATATATTTTGGAATTTGTCAGTTTGCTATATTATTCACTGTGAATGTCTATATTTAATAAGTTTGTTTTGATAAAACGAATGATATTAGATACATGAAGTTTGAGAATTTTGTTTTGGTAAATGATTGGTACCGTATGTTTGAGTATGAGAATTATTTATCATAGGTTGATGTTCGTATAGCATTGTATCTCAAGTTCACCTGAAAGTTATATAATCAAAGCTAGCCAGCCAACAATTAACAAGTGCGATGTGCAACTACCGATTTTGTTTTCTATTACTTTAAGAGGAAAAAATAACAAATGATTATATAGTACTACAATAACAATAGATAGGCATTTGAGAGAGCATTATATTGGAAGCCCTTCCTTTGCTTCAATGCTTTGCTTCTCCATCTCTAAAATAATCAAATCATTGGAAGGTTTAACTTCCTTTTCACCGTAGTTGCCATTTGTAATATACTGTTGGACTTTGTACTGATGTTTCATAGCAATCGCGAGAAAAACAAAAAAGTTCAACACTCCTAGCACTGCAAGCAACCAATAGAAGTTATTTAACTTTCCCTGATTCAAGTTGCTCTTTAGCCAGTTCTTCCGAGTGGCTTTGTCAACTATAGACACCAATAAGCTACTAAAAAAGAACCCTACTGAGAGTGTGCTTAGAAAAAACCCTGTGCTCATTGATTTCATCTTCTCTGGTGCCTCTCTAATGAAAAACTCTAGCTGTCCAACATAAGCAAATGCTTCTCCAGCACCTACTAGGAAGAATTGAGGGACTAGCCAGAAAGCACTCATTTTAGTATTATGTTCAACAGCAATTTCTCTTCTTTCTTTCTCAATAATAGCAGCAGCTACCATAGCAACTATCGAAAAAATGAGTCCAATACCAATCCTCTGAAGGCTCGTGAGTCCTTGGAGATTGTGGGTGAGATTTCGAGCCAGGGGGACGAAGAGCCTTTCGTTGAGGGATGTGAATAAGAGAATACTAATGAAGAGAAACGTAGATAAAGAACCAGAAGGAATAATGAGGGACCCGACCTTTCGGTTCATGAAGGTTGCTTGTTCAATGGTGAAAGTAGTCATTTGAGAATAGACTGTCCAAAAGAGGATACATGTAGACCAAATAGGAATGAGCTTGAGTACCATCTTCACATCCTCAACCTCCATTACAGAGGATACTATCCAAGGATTGTTCTTGTTCGCTCCAGCAGAAGCATTATCATCCATAATTGCAGCCTTGTCAAGACACCTGATGAATTCCATGGACATGAAAAGAAAATCTTGTAAGTTGATAAATTGCTCTATTACTGATACCAAATAGACCTAATAATGTACGAGCTTATTTAGAAAACTCAAATTTATTCAAATAGTTGCTTTGTTTTAAATCAAAACTTACTTGAATCTCTCTGTGTGAGGTACCTTAGAATTTTGGTAATCATTCAAAAGGCTAGGATGAGAAGGATAGGGATAACCCCTCTTCTTCCAAGCCAAGAACAAGACCCTCCATATAACAGTAAAAGGGCTTCCTTGAGGTTTCTTGAAACGGTACCATCTTGTCCCACAAAGGAATATAGCTACAGCTATCACCATTGTCCCTGCTGAAATTCCATAGCCCCAACCTCTTCCCACATTATCTTGTACATATACTAGCACTATTACTGCAAACAATGACCCGATGCTGATACAGAAATAGAATCTATTGAAGAAGAAGATCATAGCCTTCTCCTCCTTGGGGTCTGTGGTGTCGAACTGATCAGATCCAAACCCAGATACATTCGACTTGATTCCACCGCCACCGAGTGCTATAGTATAGAGTGCTGCATATAGCAGAGCTAGTTGCTGGCCGTTTGCTTCTACACACTGAAGATGCTGTCTCCGGTAGTCGCACGGTGGAGGTCTCATGCTAGAGATGGTTGTAGCCAGTGTTAATAGAGTTACTCCCTGGTGCAGCAGATACAAGGAATTAGCAGAAATTAACTAAACGCTTCATGTTTTGTGCTTCTATTAGAGATGCCATTCCCAGTTAAGGTGACATGTTGTTCAACCATAAATTCAAAAACAACTAGTGCATGCAAATTTTTGGTTTTGAAAGCCCTTTTTTAATCAGTATTCAGAAAGTGGAAACTCCAACTTCGGTTGATTGAGAATTCAAGAGAAGCACTATCGCTAGGCTAAATCTGCAGGATCTTTTTGGTTGAAAGCTTACCACAGCGGTTATGGATGCAAAGATTGCAACAGTCAAATAGCGACCAAGTTTAGCATCTGCTAGGAAACCTCCAAGTAAGCCAAGAAGGTTTAGGGTACCCATAAAGTTTGTGACTATGGTAGCAGATTTTGCAGAAGGAATATGCAGATCTCCCACCAAGTATGTCACCAGATTCATTGAGATGCCCATCACGCATATCCTCTCTGAGAGTTCAGTCCCTGCAGCGAAAGTGTTCAAGTAGAGATCAATTAGTACAGCTTCATTACTACAACTAAAGCAACAGACACACACACACACACAAATAATATCTTGTTTAGGGAAAAGAACCTAAAATTAGCCCAGCAGCAAGCCATCCACCAGTTCTGGACTTATCTACTGGATTTCCATGAAAATCTACTGCAGCGTCATGGTTTCCTCCATCCTTTTCGCCATGGCTAGCTACTAAAACCTGTTACAGTTTAGAATTTGTGATTACCAAAAAAAAAAAAAAAAAAAAAAAAAAAAAAAAAAAAAATCCACAATAAAAAAGTGTGAAAACTATCATATATTTTCAAAGCACTTACCATCCAAAAAAAAAAAAAAAAAAAAATCACATAAAAAAGTGTGAAACTTTTATATTCAAGCACTTACCATCTTTTGTGTGAGAGAGAGAGGACACTATTTAGCTGCTGAAAGTTCCCAAAAGAAGAAGAATGAATGTATGAGTGTGATTGGAGTTTAGGGAGAGTTGCTATTTAGAGTGCTCTCTCTCTCTCTCTCTCTCTCTCTACTTGATAAAGATGAATTAAAAATTGAGATGTGATACCATTCTATTATGAAAAATTAATGGAAAAAGAATAGGACACTATAAGTTTAGATTTAGGTGAGGTTGGTTTAAAATTACGAAAAACAGATATTATATAATTCTGAAAAGAAGTAGATACATATTAGACAAACGGGTCGAATAATTTGTCCGGAATTTATAATTTCACATGGGTCCACGATCCATGCATGTGAGTTTTCAAGTGCAATGTAAACAATGTATACAAGACATTAGGATTAAGGAGGGAAAATGTGATAAAAGGTTGCATAACAAGTGGTAAAGTGAAAAGCTTAGTTGATCGTGTTTTGTTTGAAGTATAGCTACAATCATGTGACGTTTTGGAGTTATTATAAAAGCTTTGTGGTTGTGGTTTTGGTTGTGGTTTTGGTGCTCACAGTCCTAACCAAGCCACCATTTACAAAAGTGACAATGACAATTCTTTCATTCTATTTCTGGTTCTTATCTCTTCATTGTCATCGCCATTATTGTTATTATTATGATGACTTCTAGAAATTGAATTATAATATATAATTTTAGATAATAAAATATGTGGAGAGGATGATCATAATTTCTGGACCGTCTGATGATGTTCGAGACAGTACATTGAGTGCACGCGACTTGACATTATTGGGTTGATTGAATCATGTGCTAAAGTTTGTTTCTTGGTTAGGACTTATCATAGGAAAAGCATATAAGCTTTGCATTAATCTCCAGGAAAGTCATAAGTATAATTTGATTGATTAATATTTCTATTACGTGGAGCTTTTGATCTTCCCCTACCATTTCTCCTCTCTTTATCGTAGAATCTACAGTTAGTAATGAGATGTGACAATTTTTTTTAATTTGATTTTCAGAGAAATAGGGTTAAGATTGTTTCGATTTATGCCCAATTCGAAATTATCCAAAAATCTTAGAATTTTTTTCTTTAAAGTTACAGGGCTAGTATTCATGTCAAAGCATGAAATAATTATAATCTAAGCAAATTCGAAGTATATAAATTAATTACTATAAATTATAAAAATATAAAATTTCCAAAACAAAAATCAAAATTTAAAAATTTTAAAATTCTTCAAAAAATAGAGAATTATATGAATTATTTGAAAAGCTTAGAAAAAAAAAAAACTCATATATCTCAATTTAATTGTCATTTCCATATTTTTTTCTTAATTATATTTCAATCAGATACAAAATATATTTTAAAAGTCAACCCTAATATTTTTTGATACAAAATTAATTTCATTTTCAGATTTGTAGTTGCTCATTTATATAAGTGTTTTTTTTTTTATGAGTTGATTCTATATTACAGAAGTTGGCCGCTAAATTCAAACTTATCTTATTACTTGAATCAATAAAAAAAAAAAAAAAAAAAGATTAGATAACTTTGAATTCAATAAAAAAAAAAAAAAAAGTTTTAAAGATTAGAAAAAAAAAAAAAAAAAAGTAAAGATTAGAATAATTGCAGAAAGAGAAAAACAATATGGGAAAAAGAAAAAAGCTAACAACATAGAAGATATAATTAGGAAATTCTGGTAGGTAGAAAACAGTGGAGAATATCTTTCCTAACTTTCATTTTTTGACTTGGCTAGGTAAAGTTACTTTGAGATAATTATTGATTGAGGAAGGTATTGGAAAGATATGGTGTTCCCTTTATTTTTGTTTTTATTTTTATCACCTACTGTGATGTACTCATACCACTATTGGTCTTCCATGTGGTAAATTATGGATATAGTCCAAAATATATTAATTAAGAAGTTTCCAACAACTTTCAAATGCAAAATATACCTAATTAAGGCATAATGATATTTTAACGAACAAAACCTACAACTCAATTAGAAATTATTTTAGAGGTACAACTACAAGCTTTGTGGCATAAGATATAAGAATGCACAATGGTCACGAAACTTATTAATTTTATTAGAATTTACATAAAGAGAACCTTATTCCAAAATTGAGTAACAGAAATAATTATATAATATGAAGGTCAAAGATATAAATTCACCTTTATATCTTTTACGAAAAAAATTTTGCACTTTAAACTTTATTACGGGGAATGTATTGTGCTTATAAAATTGTAAATTTCAATAACATTTTACTTTTATTTATATTAGCAATAACAATTTTTAAAATTTTGCGCTTTTTATATAAAATATTGAGTTGATTATAATTTTAGAATTTTTCAAGTATCTAATAAGTATTGCATTGATCTAATTTTACAAGTTAAAGCTCTAAATAATTTATAAATTAAACTATTTAATTGGTGAATTTTTATAAAGTGGAGTATTTCAAAGTAAAAGTTAAATATGCTAGAAAATTTTTCTCAGAAAGTACATTGCTATTTATGCTTTTAGCTATAATATATGAAATATAAAATATTTCATAAAGAAATACATGACTATGCAATAAAATATATATATATATATATATATATAAGACACAAAGAAGAATGTTAGAAAATATAATAATAGAGTTGAAAATATTTTCTTATATCATTTGTTAATTAAGTTAATGGATAAGACTTGTATTAGTTTATTAAGAGAAAATGAAATTCCTTTTGAATAAAATATTTAATTTTTAGTATTACAGCATAATATTGTGGATCATTGGATTTTTGCATTGAAATAAATATTAAAATAATCTATCTATTTATATCTATCTATATAAATATATAAAAGCTAAAACACAAAAGCTTACGTGGCACAATTCTAAAATATTAAGATGCTTATGTGGCAAAAAATTAATCTATTAAATTGAAAATAATTTTTATATTTTTAAAAGTGGGCCCCCAATTCAAAATATTAAGATGCTTATGTGGCAAAAAAATTAATTTCTATTAAATTGGAAAATAAATTTTTTATATTATTTTTAAAATATTTAATATTTAATTAATAGGAAACTTAATTAATATTCCATTGAATAATATTATTTTTAAATAATTAAATTAAATTTATAATGAATCATTATATTATGGAAAACTTTGCAGTCCTTTCCTCAAAATTAAATTAATAATATCATTAATATTTTGAAAACTTTGCAGTTCCTTCCTCAAAATAATTAATATTTAATCTCTCCGTTTTCCTTTTTTCCACTGTCACAGAATTTTTATAGATTTTTTTTTCAATATAAATGAAATCTTAAAGAAAGTAAAATCATACTTTCAACAAAAAAAATGAATTCTTTGTGACCATGTAAGACTATTTTCATGCATTTTATTAATGTGCACTTGATCAATATGGTGATGGTGATCAAATTAAAAAGTGGATTCAGTTTTCGATAATCGATTAAAATATGATTTTGTGATTTGTGAAGGGAGATGACGGTACTTCTCAACTTATTCCAAATAAGTGCAAACTTTTATGAAATTTTTTAAAAAATTTTTTAATGTTTATTAGATTTATGCCTGGATTTTATATTATTTATTCAAAATAAATTCAAGAAATGATATTTAAAAATATTATTGTAAAATCCATTAAAATATTTATAAAAATTAAAAACTTTAAGTTTAATTATAAACTTATTTATTGATTCTTTTGCAAGAATATGGAAAAAAATTATCTTGTTTTATTTTTTGGACAGTAGTTAGTATAATAAATTGGATATTTGAATTTTTTAAAATAATTATTAATTATAATAAAAATAAAATTTTTATTTTTAAACATTATATAAAATCCACATGGTGCGGGAGATGTCGGCCATGCGGATTTTAACCCATATAATTTAACCAAGGTCTACAAGACAATAAAGGAAAATTGTTTGAATTCTGAAAAGTACTCGAATTACTCATCATCATTAAATTGATAACAGTTTCTCTTGATGTTTTTGTTTGTTTCTTCAATTTAATGTCGGCCCGAGTCTCCCGTAGAAAAATATATTTATTTATTAATTGATATGTATGAAAAAAATAATGGTTTAAATTGATAGAATATGTAATAAATAATTATTGAAGAATAATTAGCTAAATACCTAATTATAAATGGTACAAAATTTAATCGTAAATCCTTAGGTTGTGTTTGGTTTGATGTAATGCAATGTAATGTGATCAAAGACGTATGATAATAAAAAATTTAATGTAATAAAATGTAATTGAGATTTCATTATTATGTTTGGTAATTCAATTGAGAAAACTTATGGAATATCATCACGATTCATTTTTCTTATATTTGTTTGAATATATGTAATGTAATTAGCATACCATTACCAATCACACCACCTCCACTACCCCATCACCACTAACGCTCCACCTCCACTACCACCATAATGTATACCACTCTACTACCACCACCACCACAACTTCAAACACGACTCCACTATTAATACAAAAGAAATATTTGAACCAAAAGTTTTTTGCTATAGTAAGCTATTAGACCATTTAGATTCATAAATTTATTTGAAATACAAAATTAAAATAACGTAACCCGAAAAAAAAATATAATATAATAAAATAAAAGTTAAATTTATTAGAAATTAGTTTTTTTATATATTTTCATTGAATAAATTAAATTATAATATAGAATTTTGATATTTTTAGTGTTTTTTAATTCTATTCTTCCCATTCCTATAGTAAAATAAAAGAATAAAATATATTTTTTATTGAATGTTGCTAGGGCTGTAAACGAGACAATCCGCTTGTGAGTTGCTCGAGGCTTGGTTCGATAAATCTCACTCGAGCTTATTCAATAAGCTTATCGCTAAGCTCGAACTAAGCTATTAAGCTCATTTAATAAACGAGTCGAGTTTGAGCTTGGATCATTAGCTTGCAAGTCAGTCTTATCAAGCAGAGCTTTCGAACTAGCCTTATCGAGCCATGGATCATTAGCTTGCAAGTCAGTCTTATCAAGCAGAGCTTTCGAACTAGCCTTATCGAGCCAGTCCGCTTGTGAGTGCTGTAAACGAGACAATCCGCTTGTGAGTTGCTCGAGGCTTGGTTCGATAAATCTCACTCGAGCTTATTCAATAAGCTTATCGCCAAGCTCGAACTAAGCTATTAAGCTCATTTAATAAACGAGTCGAGTTTGAGCTTGGATCATTAGCTTGCAAGTCAGTCTTATCAAGCAGAGCTTTCGAACTAGCCTTATCGAGCCAAGTTCAGCTCAAGAGCCAGC